ACTATCCGGCCGCTTACGCATCTTCAGCCCTAAGTAGCGAACAGTTCTGAACCGTGACAGATACTTACATTATTCTTACGTGCTGGAAGTTTTAAATAAACTTCCATTTATGGAACCGTCTATACTTGTTTTGGAGATTTTAGGAACTTTGTCAGCTAACAGTATAAAGTTTGACCAGACTGCACGGTACACGGCTGGGCAGACTAGCCTATACTGGTGAAAAGTTCAAGTGGGGGTAAGCATTAAAGCATCAACACAATTCTTCATTCATGCGCTTGATTTTCCCCTATTTTGTTCGTGTTGTTGAAATCGTGAATTCATGAAGTTGAAATCATGAATTCATGAAGTTGAAATCGTGATGTCGTGAAGTTGAAATCGTGAATTCGTTTAGTTGAAATCGTGAATTCATGAAGTTGAATTCGTGAAGTTGAAATCGTGAATTCATTAGGTTGAAATCGTGAATTCATGAAGTTGAAATTGTGAATTTATGAAATTGAAATTGTGAATTCGTGAAGTTGAAATCGTGTATTCATGAAGTTGAAATCGTGATTTCGTGAAGTTGAAATCGTGAATTCATGAAGTTGAAATCGTGAATTCATTATGTTGAAGTCGTGAATTCATGAAGTTGAAATTGTGAATTTATGAAATTGTGAATTCGTGAAGTTGAAATCGTGAATTCATGAAGTTGAAATCGTGATTTCGTGAAGTTGAAATCGTGAATTCGTGAAGTTGAAATCGCGAATTCGTTTAGTTGAAATCGTTAATTCATGAAGTTGAATTCGTGAAGTTGAAATCATGCATTCATGAAGTTGAAATCGTGAATTCATGAAGTTGAAATCGTGAATTCGTGAAGTTGAAATCGTGAATTCGCGAAGTTGAAATCGGGAATTCCTGAAGATGAAATCGGGAATTCATGAAGTTGAAATGTCCCTACCGGGCTTTCGTAATACACATGAATATTGTTCTTGTTCCTTATCATGTATTGCATGTTATTTTTTCATTGTAGCTCAAATTTTAACAACCTTCCCACGTACTTGATATTTCAAATGTTGAAGTATATAGTTCGATCACTTCCTTCCATATTTAGATTATGAGTTTTGTATAAATGTATTTTCGCACGATTACTTGTATTTTGTTTCAAACCATGTAACGACTACTTCTGTTTTTGCGACTGTACCAGTTAAGGTAGAACGCGACACTTTGCGAACTTTCGAGTAGCATCTTGAAAATTGGCATGCAAAAACTTGACCATATTTCTGATTGGATTTCGTTGATATTATTTCAATAGTTTCAGCCAATTTTTATACACACGACGTCAAAGTTGACCATCAAAGCCCGTTTTAGAACATGACGTCGTTGCGTATCCTTGGCAACTGTTACGGGTATTTCAACGCCATTGGCGGAGAAAATATCTTAAATTCTAAAGCATTCGACGGAAATTACTTTTTTCTTTAAGCTGATATAAGATTTATCGTTTTACACCGAAAATTGTTTGAGTAATGGAAAGAAAATTGTCAATTTTGTGTAAAATTTGACGTTCAGTTTAGCCGCATTTTAGGCTTAAAATCGGCTTATTAAAAAATTCCTGAAATAAATTTTTGATTTTTTTTCTTTAAACGTCCTTTAAAATGTATACTTAGTCAAAATAACTACAATTTAGGGGGTCACCGACTCAAATTTTTCGGTACATCTGATTTTATTTCCCCCCACCCCGTGAGTAATTTTGTAAAGAAATTCGACGTATGCAGATACGTTTAAGACTTCAAAGTGCGTATATAATGTTCAGCTTATCAGGAGAATTGTTCTAGAGTTTTACTAATACATATAAAACAACAACAACAATGTTCCATTGCAAATTCTTAAAATTGTACGAAAAACAAACGATTTTTTTTCTTGTTTTTAAGCATGATTAATAACTTCATAAGGAATTGTAAACAGACGCATGTAAAGAAAATGACGTCAGGCGTTCAACGGCAACGCGAACTCTGCGCAAACAAAAATAAATACAGCTGAGAGTAATCATTTGCTGTGTTCCTTTTTGATATTGTAATACAATAAGATTAATAAACCTGAATCGAGAAATATTCCATCATAAGGAACAAAAAACAACTATATATTTTTATGTTAATTTGGAAATTTACGGAAATTCAATCCTAAATTAATACGTAGTCTACAAGAAATTCTGCAAATCTATACGTTTTGCATTACCCACACCAGAGTGATATACTGTGAGTGATATGTATTTTATTTCACCTATTAAAAACCAGAATTTGAATTTCACTTGTAATAAAAAACTATTGCAACAATTTGACAGAATTGGCGAAATATTGACAAATTAAAATATACGGTTCATAAATGAAACTTAGTCTATTATATTAACGTGAAGCAAACAGTCATGCTTGAAACGTTAGCTCAGTGGGTATTACAGATGAAGCACGTTTGATTCTGCAAGTAAATAAACATCTGTGATACATATTCTCTCGTTTTGCTTATCATTTTAGAATATCATAATGTTAAACATAACGATTAATTGAGGATTCACCATAAACGCTGTATTAAACACATTACTATCAAATCGGCCTTTGCAAATATTCATTATTCACTGTATAGCCAAATTAATGGTAGAATTTATTTTGAAAAGGGAAATTTAGAAACAGTTCTTTAATTAAACATGAAATATAATGAAACGCTGTAAATACACGTCTGCGGATTTTAGCGAACCGGCGGCCCTGAGCTATATATATACTGCACAAAGGAGTGTTGTGTGGTAAATCTTTATACAAAATAAAGATATTTCAATATATATTGTCATTTTTTGTCTGTATATGCTACGGGCACTGTAGAGGATCTGCTGATGTTTCACTAACTATTTAATCAGTATGCAACTGACATGTTAATAAAACCGAGATATATTACATTTTACTCAAAGTTTTACTATTTCATGTCAGACTATTATTTCTTTCCTCTTGTAGAAAGTGGGTAATTCTGAAGAACATCTTTATTCTCTAATCTGTATTTACAAGAATAAAAAATAATCATTTTTTGGTAATATCTGACCGTGTAATTAAAAAAATACGCATTTTAGTAAATACGGACTTCATTCAAAGTTCCCGCATATTACGAGTGTACGGATCACGGTAAATTAGTCATATACGTATTTCATGCTATATGGTCCGTACATCAAATTTCACTTATTTTTACCTGTCTATCTACAATATACGGAATTCCGTACCCTGTATTGTATCCATATATTTGCGCAGTGGTCATATTAGTGTAAAATGCCGTAAAAAGCGGGATTTTGACACAGGCCGATCGTTTTAATAACATCAAAAAAACAAACGCCCCGTGATAACGTGACTTTTATCCAAAGGGGTGGGGGAAATAAAATCACGTGTACCGAAAAAATTGAGTCGGTGACCCCCTATTTTTTTTAGGTTTTTTTTGACTAAGTATACATTTTAAAGGACGTTTAAAGAAAAAAATCAAAATTTTTTTTCATGAATTTTTTAATAAGCCGACTTTAAGCCTAAAAATGCGGCTAAACTGAACGTCAAATTTTACACAAAATTGACAATTTTCTTTCCATTACTCAAACAATTTTCGGTGTAAAACGATAAATTTTATATCAGCTTAAAGGAAAAAGTAATTTCCGTCGAATGCTTTAGAATTTAAGATATTTTGTCCGGCAATGGCGTTGAAATACCCGTAACAGTTGCCAAGGATACGCAACGACGTCATGTTAAAAAACGGGCTTTAATGGTCAACTTTGACGTCGTGTGTACAAAAATTGGCTGAAACTATTGAAATAAAATCAACAAAATCCAATCAGAAATATGGTCAAGTTTTTGCATGCCAATTTTCAAGATGCTACTCGAATGTTCGCAAAGTGTCGCGTTCTACCTTAAAACGTCTAGAGTGTCGTCGTATAATTTATATATAGAATCTTTTAGACATGGGCTAAATCGAAAAACTAAGAAATGAAAGATTATGTTTTTACTGTGGTAATGACAATGAAGACGAATTTCATTTTATCATAACATGCAAAAAGTATTCCGACCTGAAAAAAAAACCAAACAAATTCATACCAAACTATTATGTTAAAAACCCGAGCATGTACACATTTATTTATTTATTGAACTATTGAAGTATTGTTAAACTTGGGAAATTTTGTATCACAAACATTTAAACGCAGAGAATAAAATTAATCAAATTTTCAGACATAAAAACAAAAATGTTATCTTGTAGGTAATATTACTTTATTTCCTTGAAATTATTCTCCATGTATTATTAACCCAATGCAAAAATGTATTTGTATCATATATATGAGAGTTTGCTACAAAATCTGTAAACTTTAATGACTACGTGACCGTTGAATTATTGAGAAATTATAAAACTGTATAAGTTTGGAAATTGTGCGTAATTATTTAATATGAAAGATTATCTTGACACTTAACCATACTAAAACGATGATTTCTATTGGCAATTCCATTTATAGAAGCCAATCGGAATGTTTTTATTAGAAATTAATAATTGTCAACTATATTATTTCATATTTATTAATTTGTTATTCAACTGCACTGAAATTCTAATATATATACTAGTGAGTACTATATTTTCATCGGATGTTATGAAAATAAATATTTCATGAGTGTCGGTAGCCGCGAGTGAAATATGATAATTTTCATACCACAATAGATTTCTGTTTATTATTATAAACATTTTTTTCTCCTTTTCTATATCAGAAATTGAATGACGTCCCCTTTAATTTTTTGTATCGACTTAATTAAGAAGAAAGTAGTCCGCCAAGACACCAGTGAAAATACGGTAATATTTTTTCACTCCGGTGAAAAAAATAAATGTTTACAGTGAAAATACGGAAAATGAAGATACACATTTCATTTCATCAATTTATCTCAATATTTCATTCATAAATATATATAATAAAAAATGATAATATGTTGTAGAAGATGGATACTATATATTAATAAGGAAGTGATAATCAATACATCGATATCTCTATCGGTATATAGGAAGTCACTTATGACTTAATTTCTGTAGCTTCCTCATTGCCACCTTCATCACGAGTCCATGCCGCCCTAAAATATTTTTCATCTTCAACTTCCGTACATCATTGTCTCATTTTTGTAAACCAAGAAATGTGTTAGGAAGATATGAATGTATATATTATTAAGGAATACTAGAAAAATATTTATAATCTGCTGAAAGTGTCATTATGAAAATTTTAAACACTTTGTTGTTATTTTTGTGGACGTTGATGGCTTATACCGCGTATGGATTTAATATAGAAACTAAAGACGCCGTGACGCTAGAAGGGTACCCTGATTCGGACAGTCATTTTGGATACTCTGTAGGGATTGCTGATGACCAGAATTCTGCAAATCGCTGGTAAATAGATTGATCAATATATAATGTGGGGTAAATAAATGGTTATCAGGCGTAAAAAAAATATTGGGCAAAAAATAACTATCTGTCAAAACTGTCTTTTACATAGAACTCCTTATTATTATGCAGATGTTCATTTGGATTGTTAAAAGAATAATTTCTTATTCATTTGAATTGCTAACAAGAGCACTGCAAATAAATAAATTAATAAAAAAGTACCTCAAGATAGGAAGTTCTGAGGGAAAATATAGACCATTTTACGCTACGATATTTCCTTAGAAACGGAAGTAGCATTTCGCGCATGCGCATTCTGCGTAGGTCAAAGATATAACAAAAGAATACATTTTATCAGCAATAAACAAATTCATAAACAATTCGATCTTGTCTAAATGATTAATCAACCTTTCAGAATAGTTTATTTTGATTAATAATCGATACAAAGGTGAATTTTAGTAATTTACTTGAGCATTTCTGCATTTATGCATTCAGGGTTTTTTTTCAAATTTGACACACCCTGAATGATGCATTAGAACCTTTGTATACCTTCATTAGAATTAACAAATTACTGTCTATTGCATTTATGTGTACTAAAATCCATCACTTGGACAAATCTTCCTTTACGAGTACACGGTAAAGGTTAAGAAGCTTTGCTAGTGTCATTTTTAAAGCACTAAACTCTCATACTTAAAGGCTTAAATAAACATGATTTCGAGTCACAGCGATGTTGGCATGACTACGTGTAACGTGATTTGATATTTCTAACAGATACGAGTATAAGAAAATATGAGGGACTAACAATATAATGATCTAAAAGCGCTGTAAAAGTCCTCTGTAAAAGGTATCAATACAAGGCCTTTTCATCAGTAATTTCGAATGAAACAACACTGTGTTTAAGATAAAATTTTATTAACCCATGTATTACATTAGATAACACAAACTGGTAGGCAAGGTGAAAAGTGTCAAACAAATAGACACGTGGCCGTTTGTTGTTTCAACTAGTTTACAAAATCATTCAAGTACCATGACAATCTCAACTCATGCTCGAAACTTCACGTTTAATAGTAATAATTATAATAATAATTATAAAAAAAAAACACATATATTGTAGGATACTGGTTGGGGCTCCACGTAGTAATGACCCATTGTTGCAGCAGGTACCGAGGCCAGGTGTTGTGTTTGCCTGCACATTTCCTTCGCAAGGCACGTCCACCTGCACGAAACTCAACATCGACGGTATTTACTTTGATATCTCATATATTTTCTTTCCATATAAAAGAATAATCGTCTGTGACGGTAACATTTAAGACTCTTACGGCCAGATTAAACTTAGAAACAGTCCTTATTGTACCATGACTATCCTATAATTAGATCAGCACGCAACCAGATTCAATATATAATTTTTAAGGAAAATTTTGAAAATATATCTAAAGTAGAATATTGCGAAATGAACAAAAGATCGAAAACGGCATTTACAATCCACGTAAATTACCAAAGGAAGGTCAAATCATTAACACTGCGTTAGTTATGCATTAGAAATATGGTAATGGTAGTGGGAAAAAACAGTCATAAATCGCACATAACATGTAAATTATTACTTTTATCTCGATTTTTTTATTTCTCTTAAAATTTTAGATAATCATTCTCAATTTTGATTCCCTTACAATAGTTTGGCTCATCTGGTGGCATGCAATTTTAAGACATATCTAGGGAAAAACGTATTGCAATTAAATGTTGTTTTTTTTTAAACATTTATGTCTTTTCTAAAATAAGAGAACATGAATGCAGAAAGTTACACTTTGGAAGGCAAAAGTTACAATTATAATCCCGGAAGGGACCACTCGTGGCTTGGAGGGTCAATCGATGTCCTGACTTCCGGTTCGGCTGATGTGTTTGCTGTAAGTAAAGTATAAGACTTTATCTGATTATTCGTATCTACAAAAGTAAATCAGTGTTAAATTGATATTTTGAAAGAATAAGGAAATACTGGACCAGACGACATGTGAAACTAAAGCTCACTAGCGATTTAATCCTATCAAAAGATGTAATGTATTTCTAGTCTAGTTAATATAGATTCTTAAATTCAAGGGAAAAAATTGAAAGAAGAGGAAAGCGGTTTTTTTTTTTTTTTTTGCTTTTTTTTTTTTTTTTTTTTTTTTTTACAAACTGGTACCACTTTGTGCTATGAGTGGGTCATGTATCTGTCTGTATATCTTAAATCTGATATTGAAATATTTGCCTGTTAGTAAGATACTTATCATGTAACCATAAATAAAACACATGTATATTGGCGATAAAATTATATGTTTACCTTACGTTTCCTTCATGATAAAAGACATATATTGCATTTACATAAGGGGGCAGGGGACCTAAAAATGAAAATTTTTGTATTTCAGTGTGACCAGAAACACAATTCCAAATATTTCAAAATCTGTTTCACAGGCAGATAACCAGTTGCACAGCATTATTCAATGATATATAACATACATTGAAGAAAATAATACTTTGCATGCATTTCTCCTTCAAAAAATGACTGACAGCAATTTATATTTACCCCCACCCAGCCAAAATCACACCTAAAATATACCAATATAGGCAATCTTCATGAAGGTGCAGCATACTCCAGAATCCGCCCGATTCCTTTAAAAATATCAGTAACACACAGTGCAAGCTATGGCATTTTCAGAAATGACAAATAAAGTGTTTGTCATACGTTTAGATTTTTCACAAAATTTATCTGAAGTTTCTTACTTGTTTGGCGCCAACTGTCAAAGCTTGATTTTTAACTTTTCCCTCTCCATTCGGAGAGTAAGAAATACATACAAAGCTATCAAAATGCTTAGTTTCGGGTAAAAAACCCAAAAATATATCTCATTTCCTACACACAAACAAGAAAGAATTACAATGACAGAGAAATATCAGAAGTTATCAGTACCTTCAAAACACCATGTCTGAGTTATTAAAAAATTTGACCGGGGCCATCATTCGAAATATGTCCCCTGCCCCCTTAAGATTTTTTATATGATTCCGCATTAAAGCGTTTCCTTTTATTTTCTTAAAATATGGAGTATTTCGCATTAAACGTTAACTTCGAAAAGTGAATACTGCGGTCACTTTTGTATTTAATCAAATATTTAAAAAAAAGACCCTATTTCAGGGGAAGTAACTAGTACAATGACCATGCCTGTTATATGATTTACTTAATATCAAGTGCCAGGAAACCTGTGAGATGGTTATTTTGTGTATTCCCACCTTCATTTAAATACCATAAAGTATTTTCAGAGTAATTAAAGTCTTTTGGAAGGAGATAATAGCAAAGAAAAAACAATATTATAGCCATATTTAATGTCCCAAAATGAATTTCACAGGAAACCAGACCCCATTTATTCTGGCATACACCTAAAAATGCATTAAAGATACCACTGTTGACTTATATGACATTATGTACATTTGATACAATTAAAAGTGCTCAATTATGCATTACTATGTCAATTTGCACAATATAAAACTGTTAAATCTGGATAAATGTGCACATTTTGTGAAGTACAGTGTTTGCCAAAATTCTAAATTTTTTATAACCTCCCTTGACTTGACAGTCTACTTACTCTACATAACTTGATAAATCCTACAGTCACTTCAAAATTTTGACTAACAAATGTAGAAGGAATGTTTATGGGCACATTTGGGTCAATTCCAACACATTTTATAAATTTCAAAATGTCCTTAAGGGGGCAGGGGACCTAAAAATAAAATTTTTGTATTTCAGTGTGACCAGAAACACAATTCCAAATATTTCAAAATCTGTTTCACAGGCAGATAACCAGTTGCACAGCATTATTCAATGATATATGACATACATTGAAGAAAAATAATACTTTGCATGCATTGCTCCTTCAAAAATGACTGACAGCAATTTATATTTACCCCACCTAGCCAAAATCACACCTAAAATATACCAATATGGGCAATCTTCATGAAGGTGCAGCATACTCCAGAATCCGCCCGATTCCTTTAAAAATATCAGTAACACGCAGTGCAAGCTATGGCATTTTCAGAAATGACAAATAAAGTGTCTGTCATACGTTTAGATTTTTCACAAAATTTATCTGAAGTTTCTTACTTGTTTGGCGCCAACTGTCAAAGCTTGATTTTTAACTTTTTCACCTCCATTCGGAGAGTCAGAAATACATACAAAGCTACCAAAATGCTTAGTTTCGGGTAAAAACCCAAAAATATATCTCATTTCCTACACACAAACAAGAAAGAATTACAATGACAGAGAAATATCAGAAGTTATCAGTACCTTCAAAACACCATGTCTGAGTTATTAAAAAATTTGACCGGGGCCATCATTCGAATATGTCCCCTGCCCCCTAATATTTTTGTCCAATAACATTAGAATAAATGATTGTCACGCGATCATTTTCCACGTCTTTATCGGTGATATTACTGTACTTACTGGTTCCCACTCTCTTGTTCTTCGCATAAAGGGGTAACGTTATATATCTAAGTCATGAAGTCCTGTATCACTATACTTAAATTACTGGTTCCCCTCTCATCGTTCTTTAGATGACGTCAAAGTATAATAATGACTGTATTTCAGACATGCGCACACAAATGGACGAATGAGATAGATCTCGACTCAAGAGATATTCTGTATATGACCGGGTTTTGTTATGAAGTTCCTTTAGATTTAAACATGGCTAATGTGAGAAAGGTTCCCGTCACAACACCAGAAGGTAGAATATATAAAAGAATCACAAACACCAACAATTACAGATGGCATTTCGGATTGGCCGGACTTGGAATATCTGTCCACTACGCACGGGTAAGATAAGAAAACATACAGTGCAGTCTTTTCTTAGCAACCCTTTGTATAACTAAGACCTATTTGCAATAACTTTATCAAATCTTTCTAAAGAAAAGACTTCTTCAGAAATAAGTTTAACATTTATAGAACATCACCTTCAAGCAACAACTAAAATTGTTGCCTTATAAAGAGTGTGTTGCTCTGCAATGATTTTACTGTATCCCACAATAAGGAAAGAAAAGATATAAATATATAAATACACACATGGAGTTAAAAAAACATAGACGCGGTTTTACTCGTATATGGGAAACACTGAAATACGCCCCATGCCATGTGTTTAATCACACATGTCTTATTTAAGTAACACAACTTTCTAAGTAGTCAAATAAAGTGGTACTAATATAAGATTATCAAAGTGGTAATATTTGAAGTGGTAAAAATCTTAGTGGTAATAATCTAAGTGGTTATAATCTAAGTGGTTATAATCTAAGTGGTTATAATCTGACGATAAAAAAGTATGTCGTAAGCTAATCATCCGCCGGTAAGAGAATAACTTATCTGAGAATTTTAAAAGGTATATGTATACGAAGTTTTTCGTAAGACTTTTAGCGGCGAGAAGAGAAATATTACCCTCTAAAAGAAATGATAAATGCATATGATACAAATCTTATACTCACCTAGTAAGTACTTAACAAAATCTAAAAACATAAACATTCCCAGAGTCAGTATTAAACAACATTAAACATCATAAACTACTCATATTTTGCATGAAAAATCCTGCATCAAAATAAGTGCAAAGAAAGAATAATTGAGAAAAGTAATTGTTTCTGACAAATCAAAACAAAAAATATACACATTTTCTCCCACAATTATATAAATCTTCTCACAGAATGGAAAGAACCTGCTCATGGGCGCTACAGGATTTTTGGACTGGACTGGAGGATTTGTTGATTTGGGAAACGGAGATACAAAATACATGGATAATAAAATAACGAGCACAGATATAACCCGACCATATCTAGGTAAGTCACACTATATCATATTTTATCAAAATCATTCACATCTTACACTAGCTGTCGGTAAACATCACAATATCTGACCTATTAGTTACTGTTTCAGAGATGAATGCCTCAACGTTCATGCTAATTTTCATGACAATCTGAAAGTAAAAATATTGTGAACTGTTCAAAGAAATTAATTTAAAAAACGATTTTTTATTTTTAGTAAAAGTGACATTGACATTGACCCTAGGAGAGGCCAAAAGCAATCCTAATGGATGGTCATTACATAAGCTTGCTTTGCACAAGGTTTCTTATTCCAAATAAGAGGACCCAAAAGCAATCCCAAGCGATGTTGAACATATGCTTGCTATATATCCAGTTTCATTAAGATATTTAAGTTATTGACGGTAAACCATCTTGTTTGACGCCCGCTCGCATTATCCAAGTCTTATAACCAGTTTTTGAAAACCTTGTTAAAAAACTAATAAAAAGTAAACAATTTTCACAGCTACAATCGGTCCACTCTGCTCTGTCCTTTAATTTTTTAAATGGTGTATTCTGTTCTTATAAGCGTCTCATTATTATTTGATCTGTTTTGTTAGGTTATGCATCAACTAGTGGAAAGTATTTCTCAGACGGAAAGACATATTTTGTATTTGGCGCGCCCAGGGATGATATGAAAGGAGCGGTAAGTCAATCATGACGTCATACATTTGGTACAATTTATCTAATTTGCATGAAAGCAATATAAATGTCTTAAATAACTTATTGTCAACGAATTCTTTATAATAATTCGATTTTAAGCTACAACTTCTACCAAATTATAGAAATAATGATGAGATTATTTTTACTTTTAAAAGCAAGCTTTGTTAATGTATGCTTATTGAACACTAATGATTTGGAATCTGGCGTCAGGAATGTTAACGGTTAAATATTCTGTAATCATCAAACATATCATTGAATTTTGTCACGCTTATTATCAGTCATAATGAAGGAGCTACTGTTTTTAAAAAATACACAATTAACAAAAAATTGACACTAAAGCATATTTAATATATTGGCAAACATGTCAAAAATCTAAATTATCATTTATACAAGATAAAGATCTGACAAAGATTTCGAGCATGCAATGTCTCTACAAAGCCTAATGTCCATAGCCAGTATATCACTCCAGTGTATGCTTGTAGCATCTTGAACAACGCTAAGAATCAATCACATTTGTCGTGAAATTTCTATTAACGCTATTGGACGCTGCTTGCGGAATGCTTCTTACAGGAAGGAGCACACCCTTTATTAACTTCAAGCCAAATTGTGTCGTGTGTTGCTTCCTACCTGTGATTAAAGTTGAACTTTAAAACTATGGTGTGTGGATGCGGCAGATATTGATGAATCTATAGATTATTTGACTTGTACAATAGTTGTTAAAATTTCAATCCTTTTGGACAATTTCTTTGAACACATCTTACCATTTTCATGTTTTTTTTTAATGTTGAACAACTCTGCTTAAACCAGTGTTTTTGGGGCATGGGGACCAATATCGTCCGTGAAAAAGGCTGAATCAACTGACCCCGCAACATTTTCAATTTTGCCGTTTTCTGTGTTTTTTTTTAGATATTCGTCCGTTATTCTTTATTTTATAACCAGAATCTATAACAATTCTTGATTTTCCATCATCCTTTTGCTACTCCATTCCTGTGTGTTTTCTACTGCTGCAGACCAAGGAATTCATTGAAAGTATACACCGATCTCTTCCTTTTAATGTCTCTATATTTATTCTGTTTGATGTGTTAAGAACATTGTATAAACAATGGCATTATCAGTAGAAATGCCAGTCAAATATCATTATTATAGTCTTATTACCTGCTAAAAATTGCCTGTTCCCTACACTAGTGTTCGTTTTCTCTAGATCAAGCATAATTTGTAAATATATTCAAACAAAATATCTCGGTCCATATGAACTGCTGTCTAAATCATTTCTTTGTACTGGATACATGATCTTGTTGGATGTTGTTTCTACTTTTGAAATGTTGCGAGACTTTTCAATGTTTAACTTGCAGGACATACGCCGCTTTTCGTGGAATGACACGAAAGTGTCACAGTAAAGGTTCCATAATAACCGCCGAATGCCGTCTGAATTTACTACTTCTGTTTATTAAAGTCTCAATCAAACCGAGTCTGTAACATTTTTAATTTTATCGCTATTTAATGTTTCAATATTTGGCCATTGCGGTATATTACAGGCACATTATTTGTTTGTTTAAAAGATCATCTTTCCTTTGATTTTGAAAACTTTGAAGCATATCTTGATGTTCTCTTGTTTTAACAAGAAATACAAGATGGATCATGTCAATGAAATGATTTACATAAATTTCTTAGGATGATAAGCGTCTTATTTTATATTTCGAATAAAGACCAAAATAGTTTGTTGATTGGCTCGAAGTGTATTTTAAATTGATAAACATTTATCCTTCTGGTAATGTAGTATGAATCTTTCTGAATTTTTTAGGAATTGTATACTAGCATCTTGTTTGGAGCTGAACAAAATGATCATTCATTTTGTAATAGTGCTTTTAAACGTCTTTTTTGTAATGATTGAATGACCCCTTCAACAGCATTTTTTGTTTGTAGAGTATTATTGAGTATACGCACCCTTCTCCATCCATGAACCAAAAGTTAAATTATTTGTGCACCGAATGAGAAAAACAATGAATGGAAGTAAATAAAATTGAATTTAGATAGAGGCAGAGGATATGATCTCCGCAAATCTAATACAAAAGATAAAATGTGTAAAGCAGGCAATGTCCTTAGGGTGATAAAACTAAATATACGCAGGAAAACTGGAACCATCCAACAACTAAAATTGAAATGATAGAACTATTATACTACCAACACAACATAAATGTCGTGCTGAACGATCTGAAGGGCAGGGGTTGGAAAATTAATATTCGGGATTGAAAACTATGTTCATCACGGTGAAACGTTGTACAGCCGCTACTGTATACGTTGAAGTAAAAATAAAGTAGAAATGTTTCGTCACGTCACGGATGCCCCCTATGCAGCCAAAATTCCAGACGTTATAATATTTAGTTCCAAATTTGTTTGCACAAACTTTTGTTTTTCATTTTAAGTTTAAAGCCCTTTAAAAACTATTCTATGTTAACACAAACAATTTTTAAACAAATTTGTCCAACATTCAAGAGAGATAGCTTTGTCCAAAATCATTGAACCACAACCAAATTCAAACTTAAACTGCTTATTCTATATGTCGAATTTGAGTTGAATGTGTACAACCATTGGGGAGATAATGAACGGAAACTAAAAATATCTGATCTTTTTTCAAAGTTAAAGAGGGATAACCATGTCAGCTATCATCAAACCATGACCAAATTCAAACTTGACCAGTGTAATCTTATGACATATCCATATGTTTATTTTAGTTGAATATGTACAACTGTTGGGGAAATAATAAACGGAAACTGAAAATTTCTTTTTTGTCAAAGTTAAACGGGCATAACCCTGCCAAAAAAACATCAAACTATGACCAAATACAAACTTGAATTGCGCATTCCTTTGACATATCCATATGCAAAATTTGAGTTGAATGTGTAATATTACCGCTTGGGAGATAATGAACGGAAACTGAAACTTTCATAAAGGGGCATAACTCTGTCATAAATCATCGGAGCATGACCAAATTCGAACTTGACTTGTATGTTCTTATTATATATTCATATGTCAAATTTGAGTTGAACGTGTGCAACCGTTTCTAAGATAATGAACGGAAACTGCTGATGACGGAATGACGGAAGGACGGAATGACGGATCAGGGTAACACTATATTACCCAGCCATTTAATGGCGGAGGCATAAAAGCTAAACTGGACAATTGATGCCCAACATGAAAAGTCTAAAACAGTTGTAGGATTAGTATCCTATGTCGTTGTATGTTCGTCTTGATGTGGATAATAACACTCACGTGACTCCATCTAATTTCTCCTCAAACTGTGTAATTCTTCCTTTATTCATATTTGTGGAGCACAACACACGCAATACGGGACATTTATAATAACTCAAGTTCACCATAATATGTGTAGTGTATTCATTCATAATTTGCACTGATTTGCATGCTAGACATTAAATACCTTATCCAGACAACTTAGATCCCAGAGTGATTGCTTAGCACTTGTTGTACCGCGTAGTAGGATTGTGACTTATGGTGATCGTGCTTTTATGACGGCAGCCCCTAAACTCTGGAATGCCCTACCTAGAACACTTAAAAGCTGTGAAACTCTAACAGTGTTTAAGAGAGCACTTAAAACTCACTTATTTAAGAGATTTTATTATGACTGATTATGTCTAAGGTTCTTACCTGAATATTATTATAAATGTGGGTCTTTTTAACTTTTTAAACTACCTTTGATTTGATTGTGTGACTTGATCGATATTGATGTTTTAATCTGTTTCTTTTGTTGTTCTTTTTCTTTTAAAAATTGTATCATTTATTTGGTTATACTGTACAGTACTTTTGAACGTGTCAATGTGCATGAAAAAAGTGCTTTAGAAGTTAGGTATATAATAATAATAATAATAATAATAATAATAATAATGTTATTGATCGTGCTTTGTATTTGCCTAAATGAACTGTGTAATAATAAAACTTACACCATATTGTAGATAACATTTTTTAGCGCAAACGAGGACAAGCACGTTTATCAGAACGCTTTAATGAACTTAAAAGGAATGGAATCTGGCAAGGTAAACCGTATCTTATTATTTTGAAACTTTGAAATAATGAAAATAATTGACTAGCTATTTTGTTTCAGTTCTTTAGAATACCAAAGAATATATCGTTTGTCTTGCAATTATTTTAGAGCATTTTTTATTTTGTGGTTGTTGATTTTTTTTCTTTTTTGCGACTTACAGACATGAATGAGAAATTATGCATAATTCATAAAAATGAAAATCAGTGATTTAATAAAAAACAAAAGATATAAAATAATCATAGAAATATTTGTATTTTTATTGTGAAACAATTTTCAGTAAGCTGCAATTTTCCATTTCACGATATTTATTACTTTCTTTTAAGATAATCAGCTTATCTTATATACAAATCCGAGATGTACATTTTTTGCTAGTATATTTGCTTATTCGTGAATTGTATTTACTTTTTCGTAAAATATTCTGAATTTTATTTAGCAAGAATTATCAGGCCAGTATGCAGTATATATTCCAAGTTATGGTCAAAACAACAAAATTAATTTTTGATAAATTCTTGACCGGAAACAGAAGATATCAAATGAAAATCCATTCAAAATACATTTCTTATTCATCGTAATAAACGTTCATCACATTTACACAATGTTCAAACGATTTACTATTAATTACATACATTCTGTATGTAATGTTTTCACAGGATTTACCATTAAATACATATTTTGGAGCCACATTGTGTACAATGGATGTTAACAATGACAACAAAGATGACCTGCTTGTCGGTGCGCCTATGTATAGTACCTTAACAAACGACATCTTCACTGAGGGGATAGAAATAGGCATGGTATTTGTCTACCTTGGGTCCACTACGGTGAATATTGTTTTTTATTTGTCAAAGTAATTTTGGAGAAAAATCCTATTGTTTATATAGACATAAAAAGTAAAAAGGTTATTATATCTCAATGGTGATAAATACTTAGATATAGGACGCAAAGCAAAAGCCTTGTCGTTAAATGGTTTGCCTTAAAAAGCACAAATCACAAGTTCAAAATTTAGTAACTTCTTGTTATGCATTTTGTTTTTGTACAGAGATGTATTGTTTGAAATATATTGGATCTACTACGGCGAATTTTTTTTATTATATTTATCGAATTAATTTTGAAAAATCAAATGTTTGTGTATATATATATATATATATATATATATATATATATATATATATATATATATATATATATATATATATATATATAATATATATATATATATATATATATATATATATATATATATATATATATAAAACGTCAAAGAGTCATGGAATTATTTGTCTCAATCATGACAAGACAAAAGCAACAAATCGTTGTAGCAAAGCAAAGGCCTTGTCATTTGACTGTGAGTGTTTGCCTCTATTAGCCAGAAGTTCACAATTTAGTTACTTCTTGTTTTGCACTTCGTTTTGTAAAAAGGAGCATAACTTTAAATATCTAGGCTGAATAATAAAACAACATGAAAGTTTGGCTTCAGGTATACTAGCAAATGTAATCAGTTTCTTAGAATTTACTTTCAGACAATGATTTTCAAACCAAACCATCAGATCTTAAAGGGAGAACAGCCATACGGAAGATTTGGAAGTGCTATAGCAAATCTTGGCGACATTAATTCTGATTCTTTCTCGGGTCCGTTTAAAATTCATTTGTTATCATAGTCCTAGTGAATCATATTGAAATGGCATTAATAACATCTATATTGAGTGATATAAAAAGAGTGATTTTACATTTAGATTTTTGTACAAAACACTTTGATATGAAGCAGTTTAACTATACTTTGTATCTTACTGTTGAAAGCTCTATTTCATATCAATAAGTAAGATAAATGAGTTTACTTTTAATATGTACAAGTATATCGACGGAAGTTATAGAAAAATGGGTCTACGTCATTTCGAAACATCTGAGTTAGTGTCGCAATCTTATGCTGTAAATGTTGTACCTATGTAACAGCTAAATTATTTTTGTTATAATACAGATATCGCAATAGGAGCCCCTTATGAGCAAGATTCCAGAGGCGCAGTATATATCTATAATGGATATAAAGAAGGTGTTTGGCCAGAATATTCCCAGAAGATTATGTCTGCTGATATCGACACTGGGTTAAGGGGATTTGGGATATCAATTTCATCAAATCACGATGTTAATTCGGATGATGTCAATGGTAAGTTGAAGCATATTATTGAAATATTGTATATAATATATTGGTTGTGCTTTCTGTAATTAAATTATTCTAGAAACGTTGCTAATTGTTGAAACAAATAAACTGAAATAAATAAACTGAATTGTATTGTTTTGTATTTTCTGTATTTTATTGTGTTGTATTGTAATGTATTATATTGTATGATAGAAGCACATACAAATAAGACAAGGAATTTTAAATATTTTCAAGACTTTAGATTTTAAAGTCTTAAATGCAACCATTATATAAAATGTTTGATAATTAAAATATATATTATCATAACATACATTTTTATAATAATCATTTCGATATATCTGACTTGTTTTATGTATCAAATGTATTGATGATTAAAAATGTCAAGTCACTTAACAATTTGTTTAGGTCTAAGAACAAAGTTTCCTTTGTAATTAGTGAACGAATGATTTATTCAAAGTCCTGTTTCCAAATATTGATATGCTGCCTGTGTGATTTCTTTCTTATTTATATAATGTTGAGCATAATAAAATTTATTGATAAAAATAGATTTAACCCCAAAATATGATACATGTATTCTTAAGAAATGAACAACAACAACAAAAAACATGAAAAAGAACACAAAACCACCAACAATAACACGCATTACCATACGTTAAAATATAATGCTCTCCGGCGAACGCAATCTCTGTAAGGCAAATCAAAAAATAGATACAAAGGGAATTTCAAAAGAGCAAACACATTGCTTGATAACATGGTTTGCTCAATAAGAAGAAAATCCGAAAGACAATTTGGAAGAACAAAACTAAAGAATATATGTCAACAACACACAACAAAAAAGTAACTACAAAAGACAATCAGACTGAAAACATATATTCAAATGCAAAAAGACAATCGTACATAAACTGATGCGGCTTTTTATATCTTAGATATGACCTAAAGGACATAAACAGTGCCTATTAACTTAGTCTGAAACCATACATGGTATGCTCAATTAAAAGAAAAAACAAACAATTAGTTTAAAAAACAAAACTAAACAATACACACCAAAACATAATTTATATTAAAACGCTTAAAGACAATCATAAATCATTTGATATCTCAGATATGGTAGTTGGGTCTTATCTTTCTGCAAAAGCTGTCGTGTTGTTTGGACAACCAGTGATCAATGTAAGCAGTGTGCTGAATGTTGTAGACGATAACAATATAGCAACGGACTTCATAGAACTAGCTGTGGACAAAATAAGTTCTGCAAGTGCATGTTTCAGCTATATTGATCGTCGTTGTAGTTCCATAAGTAAGTTTGGAGTATTTGCATCTATATCTTTTTTTTGTTTTTGATTTTAGAATACACATAATTATATAAACGTGATATCAACCTCGGTGCAGTTACAAAACCTTTGTCTAACTGGAATAGTAACTTTTTATTTTTCCCTTGCTTTAAGCGTAACATAAAATCTTACCTCAAACTTCCTTTTATTGTGTACCAATCATTTACATAGCTTTCTTGGTGCCGTATTTCGACAAGGCACTGCGTGATTAGATTAGAATTAAAGTTCATTTACCAGTATCTTGATTCTGTCTCTCTGCCGGCCGGCGGCGAGACATGGAAAAAGACTGTTATAAGTCAGCTGCTGCAAGACATAGATAAAAGTGATACTCTAAATGTTGCCAAAGTTACCAAAAATGAAAGCACTAATTGTCCGCAATTATGGAAGGTCTTCTCAAGATTTGTTCTTTGATAATAAAAGTGAATGTATTGATTTACTTTTATGTTTTAAGCTTTGAATTTGACCATCAGTTTAGACGTAGGATACCCCGCTCAACCAAGATTAAAGTTTGCAACAAACAAGGAGGCATCGATCTCCAGCGTGCTGAGACTGTTAAGTGGTGAAATCAAATGCACGCCACTTGCGGAAATGCAAGCAAAGGTTTCTTGTTTTATTATTATTATTATTTCGTCTTAAAAGTTTTTTCTCAGCTTTAAACATCTTTATCATGAATAAAAATAATTGTTCCTCAAATTTTCTTAGAAACGTTAGAATTAGGAAGACAGCATTCTACGCCAAGCAAGGTGCCCGCTTATTTCTGAAATTGATGCTTATATAAAATACCGGTAGCACCGCAGGCTGTCTTCAACTACCTTGTAATTTCGTCATATGATCTAGACTTTAAAAAATAAAAAGTTCAAACTTGAAGATATTCTTTGAAAAGGTAATTGAATTAAAATGATTAGAACAAGTAATGGAATCCCAATGAGGGATGTAAATGTTTTACTGCAGCTTAACTAACATTTTACTAATCACACTGTAATTACCTGTAGTGTGTAGAGTTTAAAACGTGAAATGTTTTATCTTTATGTTTTCAAAAGATGTTTACTTTACATTTCAAAGGGACTGTATAGTAATAATCAGTTTTTTGTTGGTGTTTTCTTTTTTTAAATTTCAAATATAAAAAATTTTTTGTTTAAAAAAAAAAATTTAACTGTTTTTTAAATTTTGATCATATGATTTTTAGCCCAAAAATATCTAATTAGTAGATAGATTTTCGGGGCCGAATATGTACTGAAAAAATAGTTTCCATTTGTCTTGGGAAAACAAAAAGTTTTGACGGAAAACCAAGCGCCAAACTGCTTTTTCAACCCAACTCCAAAAAAAGGTTTATTTTGAAATTTGCATTAAAATTTTTCTTCTAACAAGTTTGTTAATACATATTTTTACATAACACTTTTTTTTCTTTCTTTTTTGTCTGAAAAGGTTTTTTAAACTACATTTTATATTTTTCATGGGTTAAAATCAGTATAAAAATTAACATTTTAAATTCTTTCCAAAAAAATTTTTTTTAATTTTTAAAATAAATAAGTTTTTTTTTGACAGAAAATTTTTTTGAAAAATTTTTACAGTAAGGTTATGTTGTGTTTTGATAAAGAGCTTTTATGTACAATTTAAAATGGTCGTGTAAACAATATATGGAATTTTAAGATAGCCAGGAAATTAACTTATTATGATTTAACCTTTGCTACTACACAATTATTAAAAAGGTTAAAAGGAAAATGTAAGAAAACGATTCTTTGTATATATGCGAACTTTTCGTATGTATTTACTTTCCTTTTGTTGACAAAAAATGCATTTCATTGCCATTGACATGAGTTCCGAAAAGTTTCCAAAAAAACTTTTTAGAACAAAATCTCACACCTTGCTGAAGCCAAATATACGACGTCGATGGTTTTTTGAATTTTGGGGGCAGAGACTTTCCCTCGATGTTCAACCCCAAAAAAGGGGGATCTGCTTTGGGTTTCCCTGTTTTTACATTTCATTTCCCCCAATTATTAGGCTACAAAAAGGGGAAAAAAAATTGGTGAAAAAATTTTTTATTAACTGGTCGACAATGCAAACAACGAGACAGATACTTAACCCAAATGATACGGCGGACACGCTTTTGTCTTTGTTCTAGGGGAAACCCGATTTCAAATGAAGGAGCATCGTTTAAAAGATTTTATCTTTGATGCCCAAAAATTTTAGTGATTCCGCCTATGTTAACATATACATAACGTGACACAATAAGTGAAGAGAAAGATCCGGCGGATAACAACAAGACTATCGCCATCAGCTTACGTCATAATCTAGAAGCTTCGTACACAGTGTAAGTTTTGTTGTTGTTTATTTTTTTTGTTCTTTAATTGTTGTTGTTTTTTGTCCTTCTGCCATGAATATATTAAAACGTTTAATTTTAATTTAATTGCCTATTTGTATCATAATATTAATTCATTTTTTATATAACACTCTGAAATTCTATCCTGTTGCTCATAGCATATCTTTTGAAAATAAATTTCTACCGAATTAATGTTTCAAAATATTTTATTTTGCCAAAAGCAAAATTATTGATAATAAAATATACATATGTATCGATTGTATAAACAAGGATATACGTTCTTTTTAACCGTTAAGAAAGAAATTGTAATGTGAATCTCTTATTCAGAATAAGGAGAATTGTTTTACTTATTTTTGAAAAATAAAATAATCGAATTTATGAAATCTACTTTTTTAGAAAGAAAATGGACAAATGAACCTGTCATTGTAATAAACACAATTCGCAACGATACAGTGGAATTCATTTATCAGATAACAAGAAAACGATATAATCAAAATTATGTTGATTTACATTTATCAGTAATAATCATCGCAAGAAAGTTATTTACTTGGAGGAAAACAAACACAGACATACATCATGGAAAACATACACGATTTTTAGAGAACAGGCGGACCAAGTGTTTTGCCATCCGGCCGAGATAAATATCTCATTTTTCACAGTTACAGCATTCTGGAAAGGCGCTTTTGTTATCTCAACAGTACAGAAGTATGACTAAAATTTTATTTTGGCATTTTAGTTTTAAAAATAAATCACGTGAACACACACAGGAATGAGATACTCTACTAATTCTTTGCTTTAAAATGTCATTTAATTTATTTTAACACCTAATGAAAATGATACTGCACTTACAAAGCATTATTTTCACACTTTCTATATCAGTCACAAAGTATTGTAAGATTTATTGAAATTTCATGTTTTTCAGATGACTTTTAAGTGTTAAAATTCAAGTACTATACTCAGTACATGTAACGCCGAAAATTGGTACAATGTATAGGAAAATTGTAACGTTTATATTTAATATACAAGTGCATACTGTTACTTTATGAACTTTTTTTTTTTCATTTTTCCAAATTAAATAATAGTGTTGTATTGTAAAATGTACTAAGTAAATCGTTTAAAGATGTTTGCGGATAATATGGTCATTTTAAACGGGGTTTTGTTCTATATAACTTTACAACCTTGCATTCAAAATTGAGCAGTAGAACATGTCAAAAGTCTTTATAACTAATAATATGTATGAGGAATTAATAACTTGAGTTGTAACAAAATTAAGTCTTTCGCCTTTGTGATGTTTTGTATCCATG